ATTTGATTTTGAACACACAAATCTATCACTCAAATAATAAAGAATTTTGGGGGCCGAACCTTTACAAGTAGAGGACTTGCGAGAAGCCCTAGAAGATTGTACGAATAATTAAATCAATAAGTAATATGAAACTTAAATTAGAATAAAAAACCAAGACCAAATATTTTTTCTATTAGTAAATACCAATAAGACATATGAGCAGTCAATGGAGTATGAAAATAAATTTTACATTCTTCCAGAATAAGTTTTCTACTAAAAAAAGAAAAAGATTAAATAAGTTTTATTCTTGTTAACTAAAATATAATTATTCGAAAACCAAGAATGCACAATTCATTTTTTTAATATTAGGCAACACGTTTTAAATCATTTCCAGAAAAATCATTGTAGTTACATCAGCATAAATAAATATTTTACTAGATAAATCAAGTTTTAACAAATTATTTACAAAAATAAGAAACAGAATTCGCCCTAATATTGATCCTTGTCGTATACCAGAATAAATATATGATGTAACAATACCAGAAAAAGCAACTTTAGTAATTTGAGTTTGATTAGAAACGTGAGACCTATAAAGTTTCAATTTCCCACAAAAAGTACCCATATAGGACATATTTGTCAATAACAACTCATGAACCTCTGAGTTAAGGATAACATAAAAAACATAATTATTCTTCCAAGAGAATTCATAATATGCTTTTTGTATAATTGTTAAACGATTACGCCTATTTAGGCAATTTTGTCAGGTTAGTTATGCTCCGGTCTTGTTATTTTGCCATGTCATTTTTTTATTAATTAAATTTATTTTTTAAAACTGGTCTTATTAGACCAACCATTAATTTTACATTAATATTATAGAATAAATAAATGTTTACATTCTTATAAACCCATTGGTACAATAACAACATTTCAGTATTCACTAGTCATTTTTAACTACACAAGTTCATATGGCTTTGTTCTTTTTAATCTTCTGATCATGTTTCGGTTATGTAAGAGTTTGGTCGCTTCCACATTCTCGTGCTGGCTGAGACGAGCCTGGTGTTTGGCGGCAAATCTTTTTATTTCCGCCGAGACTTCAGGGATCTTAAGATCCCTATGTAGGTCCTTATTTCTTATGTACCAAGGTGCATTGACCATGTTACGTAAGATTTTATTTTGGAGTGTTTGTATGATTTTGATATTGCTCTGTTTGGTTCAACCCCATAGTTGAATACCATATGTCCACATAGGCTTTATGACTTGTTTATATAATAATATTTTATTTTGTATAGTATGGTTGAAGCCGCGTCCTATCAACTAGTATAGTCGTCTTATCATCTCACCTTGGCATCTAAGGTCATTCCCAGATATTTAGCCGTATCGCTGTATGGCATATATGTTCCATCGATTGTGAGCGACGGAACATGGTCCACTTTTTTATTTATAAAGATTAGATGAACTGATTTATGCTGATTTCCCTTGAATTTCCATTTTTTCGTCCATTCGTTTATCTCATTACAAGCATTTTGGAGGATTTTGGTTGAATGGGTGATAGTCGGTCCTAGTGATATCACCGCTATGTCATCTGCAAACTTGCAATTTTGACTCCATCTATTTTCGGAAAATCACTGGCGTATGACAAGTAAAGCAGTGGACCTAATATGCTACCTTGTGGCACTCCTTCATTTATTGTTTTTAATTTGACTCTAAACAGTCTGTCAGTTAGGTAGGAACTGATAATATCGACATACTGCTTTGGTACACCTTTTAGTTTATTGATGAGTCCTTCGTGCCAGACCTTGTCAAATGATTGTGAGACATCAAGGAAGACAGCAGAACAGATTTGTTTTTCTTCAAGAGATTTTTCTATTACGTCAATTACTCGGTGAATTTGGTCTATTGTTAAATGTCTTGTTCGGAATCCAAATTGGGGGTCAGGAATGATTTTCTTTTTTTCACCAATGGGTTTTATTCGTTTTAATAACAACTTTTCGAAGAGTTTAGACACTGTCGGTAGTAGCGATATTGGTCTATATGAATTGACCTCGTTCCTGTTTTCCTGTATTTTTTTATCATAATGACTTCTGCGAATTTCCAGATGCTGGGAACATATTTCAGTCTGACTGCAGCATTACATAGGTATATTAGTTTAACGATACTCTTTTTTGGCAATTGTTTTAGTATTTCTCTAGTGATAAGGTTATCCTAAGATGAAGAATAGAATCCATAATTATTCTTTCAAGAGAATTCATAATATGCTTTTTGTGTAATTTCTAAACGATTACGCGTATTCAGGCAATTTTGTCAGGTTAGTTATGCTCTGGGCCTAGGCGTTTTGTTATTTTTGTCATGGCATCATTTGTACATTAGGCTTATTATTTATTTAAATTTTGTACACATACCAATTAAACATATGTAATAATGTTTATTTTGGTCTTGGTTTGATGGGTTTTTTATGTTGGGGGCGGAGCTAAATCTACGTTACGGTCTAAATTATGTTAAAACCAAATACATTTTTAAAGATATTATTCATCATGTTTGAAAGGAATCCAGGACGTTGTAATTAATTTTATTGTAATTAATGCTATGGAAATTTCAGGTATTTGTAAATAAATATATGATAGATTTTATTCTCGTAAATATCGCCATATTAAATTATGTTTTGATGTCCCCTCCTTCTACTGGACTTTATTTAATTAAATCGAGACATCAAGTTACACCGTGTACGAAACAATCCCTTGTTTTATTTTTCATCAAAAACTGTCTTGTTCAAAATAAAAACATTTGTTTTCTAATTGGTCAAATATGTACAGAAATGATAAAAACACAGTAGACATTTATATTCTCACCAAACATTGTTGAAATTTCTCATTTCCCTTGAGGGGGGGCTTTCGAAATGCACTTGCTTGTATTTTGGTATTTCCAGGTCCTGATAAGTCCATGCATAATTTAAAGCACGAAGTCGATTTTCGCCCGAACGGGATTGGGTTCGAGAAATTTTGAAATAGACGACGAAAACTATTTTTACGATTGTTTATAATAGAATTTTTCTCCTAGTACAAACAGAATGTTCTTCAAAAAGACAATATTTTAATTTTTTTTTGTCAAGTAGCCTACTACATTTGCATTAAATATTTAGAATTAGCACTAATTTGCATAAATGCTGATGGTTTGAGTTAAACATAACATATAATAAATTAAACATAACATTACCATACAATTAAAATTCATTCCTTCAAATTTAAATGATCGGTTTGATATAAAAATCTCGTTTTGTGATGATTTATAAAAGTACAATAACCCGTTTTGTTATTATTAATTTATTAAGGTAGTCTGATTTTTTAAGTTCTGTTAAAAATACATAAAAATATAGATAAAACGTGAGGTTGTTTTAAATAAAAAGCTTTATATTTTAATATTTTAAAAGTTGTAAGGTTTTAATTAAAATGGGAAAAAATTGTATATGTATCAGTAATCATAAAGTTTAAATAATTAACTAACTCAAATTGGGTCGTCCGAAAGGCTTTTGCGCGTCAAGAGCACGATTCGTAGATGGCCCTCCGAGAACCTGAGCCCTAAACAAGGAATCGTCCTTACGCGATTAAGAATAGGCCATACGCGGCTGACACACGGGCACCGCTTTTGGGCCAAAGCCTGCGCAGGTGTCCCTTATGCAGGGAAAAGTTGCTCGATGTGTCCCACATACTGGAAACATGTCATGCCTTGGCTCTCTACAGGGAGCGTGTAGGCATGCCATCCAATTATAAAATGGCATTCAAACACTGCAGCGGGTTTCTTGGTCTCCTGTTCCGCTTTCTTGGGGAAATTGGTTTTTTTATTGTATACAATATGTCTTATGGGTTGTGTGTCTATATGTTTTGTCTGAGTGCATGTATTTATTAGCGTGAATGGCGAGTGGTAAGGGTGACATAAGAGTACTCCATCGACCCCAATCTAGATTAGTTTAAGTATAGGTCGTTGGAGGAATATCAAGTACTCCACCGACCAAACGGAATGAGTGTACTGTATGGATGTATTTATGTGTATGAATGTATTTTTTTGTATGAATGTAGTGTTTGAAAGGGTCAATAGAATATAGACTTAGTTGTGGGCTGAAGTGACCTAGATGTCGGAAGCCGCAGTAAAAAAAAAAACAAATAAATAAATAAATTATGCAGTATTATGTTTGTGTAAGTCATTATATAATAAAAAATAATTAACACGTTCGCTAAAGTTCTTCAAAAACCCTGCTTTCGAGCTTGATTGAAGGTGTTAGGGGTATTTTTGGAATCGAATTGGTTTCACGGGCCTTTAGACTTCTCAATGTAACTGGGAAGACCATTTTTCAATTTTACCTTTTGGAAATTTTTTACGATTTTGAAAAAAAATGTTTTCTTAAAGAGTATTACTAAAATTTGGGAGCAAAAAGAAAATCGATCCGTTTCATGTTGAAAGGTCAGCTCAAGAAAATCTGAGGCCGGGCCTTTAGCTTTCTCAATGTTACTGGGAAGACAATTTTTCAATTTTACCTTTTGGAAATTTTTTACGATTTTGAAAAAAAATGTTTTCTTAAAGAGTATTACCAAAATTTGGGAGCAAAAAGAAAATCGATCCGTTTCATGTTGAAAGGTCAGCTCAAGGAAATCTGAGGATCCAAGAGCTCAAAAGAAAAACATCCGCAGACCCACTGATCGGAAAACTATATGAAGAGCTGATAGGGATCGATGTCAGTGGAAAAAAATGTCTCAGGACCGGTGGTCTTTGAATCAGTGAACGCCATTTATGTCATAAAATTATCTAACAATAAGGCTGATTTTTTAATCTAGAAGTTTATTATTCTTGAATATTCATTATTCAATAAAATAATCCCATCGAATATTTACTATTTTATCTTTTCGTTTTAATTATACATTTTGGATTTTATAAATATTCAGTTTGTAATATAATGTAAGTTATAGCGATTAGGATCAATGAAATTTTTTCAAAAAAAGTAATTTTCATCTAATTGTTCTTTCTTTTTCCAGGCCGTTCCGGTAACTCTGGAGTGGGAAAGAGCACAAGTTTAAACAACGCCCATAGCACCAGTCTCAAGACTGCTGAGATAATCTTCATCCTCATCGCCTTCTTCTTCTTGTCCTGGACCCCCTACGCGGTCATCACCTTCATCGGTCATTTCGGCCCCGAAGGAATCCTCAACCCTTGGATCACAGCCATGCCGGCTTACTTCGCCAAGGTACGTTAAATTATATTTCGCTAGAAGAATGTATATAGGTTATTACTGAAAATATGTCAAAAAGAAGGAAAATTAGAAAGGATATAGGTTGTGATGAGGAGTTCGTCTCCGAGGACGAGTGGATTGATGTCATGTTAGCTCAAGTGGTTAGAGCAGCGTCGTGGGTTCGAATACCAAAAAGTTTTACTAGTACAATTACAATTAACATTAGAAATGATTTTAAAATAATTAAAATATAAATCTAAAATCAATGATCCTATTGTTATTATATATCCGAAGGTTCCGTTTTGGGAAGAAACAGGGCTGTTTTATTCTATACTGAATTGGTATATATCTCGCATGTTTTTTTGTGCATCTTAAGAGTGAATGTATTTATTAGAACGAATGTGTGCAAAGGGTGTTCAAGGAATATCGAGTGCTCCACCGATCTATTTGAGTGAATGGTATGTAGCAAATGAATAATGTACGTAAACCATTTATGTTTAATGGTCTAATTGACCAAATTACGTATTTCAATTAATTATTATTTTTATATAAGGTCTTGATTGAGATGAAAAACTTATTGTCACGAGTGGGATTCGAACCCACGACCTTTGGCCCCTAACCACTTGAAGTCACGATAGCTCAAGTAGTAGAGCACGGCTATTGAGTCCAAGGTCATGGGTTCGAATCCCGCTCGTGACACTAACTTTTTCATCTCATTCAAGACTTTAGATAAAAAGTATAGTTAATTAAATTAAGAAAAATAGTAAAAACGAACTGGATAGTGACAAGAAGAGAAATTTCTAAGGGAGAAATTACTGAATTTTATTTAGGTTCACAAAATTAGAGTGGAGAGCCAGAGAGAGAGAGAGAGAGAGAGAGAGAGAGAGGGAGGGAGGGAGAGAGAGAGAGAGAAGGAGAGAGAGAGAGAGAAAGAGAGAGAGAGAGAGAGTGAGTGTAGAAAATGTGAGATGAAAATTGTGTGAGTACATGTTTATTGTTGTAATTTTGTGTGCCTATATGTATTAACCTAATCGGAGAGTTTCTTACCTTTTTGTTTTATATTGTTAAAAAAATTAAAAATATTATGTAATCCATATCGTTGGAAATTTAAGCTGTCCTAATTCAAATAAAAACGGAAATGTCAATGGTCATTAACTTTTATTGTCTCTGACGATATTATTACAAAAAATACTTTTATTTGCAATATTAGCCTGGAAATCTACAATTGAATAAATAGTCGAATTTCTTATCGGAGTATGAAAAGAAGAAAAACTTTTTTAATCCCTTTTGTGGAAGGATGTCATTGTATTCTTCGATGACCTCTTCCCCAATTCATATTTGCTACGGAAAAGAGATTATCGAAAGGTGATTTGGTGAAACTTATTATTGGTTTTTTTTACGGCATTATGGAATTTTACCCAGGCCCACCGTACTTGACAAAACTTCATCATTTGTCGTTCTTGTTATTGTGGCTCCTATAGAAAAACGAATTGGGCTTATTTGCCCTTCGGAGGAAATTTGATAAAAATCGTTTTCAAGGGTAGAAACAGAAATAGTTGATTTTTTATATTGAAAGTCTGGATTTCGAAAGGTCTGCTTCGTTGGTTGAGATTCGGAAGTAAAGAGGACGATTTTCTGCTTTAATACTTAAAAATTGGTCATTTGTTTTGATTTTTTGCACTGCTATCTGCTATCCTGTAATGGGAAATTAATCTCAAATATGCACTTGCAAGTATACTTACACACGGTTACAGAGTTGAGCGTTATGACCACTATTCTTTTGTAATTTACAATAAATTCCCAGCAGGCCTCTAGAATCACCAACTCCGGATGTTAGCTGTCCGAAGTCTTGTCCGTCCAGATTCGAACCCATGCACACACTCACTCTTAATATACATTATTTCCTATTTACATACCATTCACTCAGTAAAAGTGAGTAGTAATTGATATTTCTCCACCATACTCTGTATTACATAACTAATCTATTGAAGGTCAATGAGATACCCAATATTTCGACATCAGCCCTCTCACAGTCTGAATAAAGACAAAAACACAAAACGAGATTTTTATAAAGTACGACATACAGTAAAGAAGACATGTTTTACTCGAAAAATCGAAACAAGAGACCCAAATTCTTCCTTGAGTTTTCAAGCACAATTCTCATATCGGGTAGCATTCCTACACGCTCTCTATATGGAACGATGAAATTGCATCCTCTAAACAGGTGTAGCGCACCGAGCTACCTTTCGTGGGCTTTGGCTTAAAAGTGAGGTCCGTGTGTCAACCTTCCTAATGTCAATCGGTTGAGGATGACTCTTCCTGCCACTTTCATGTTTATATTTCATTTTTCGTGTAATGAGATGTAATTGTGATGGTTCCTATTGTTAAGTAATTAAATTTTATATTTGATGTTATATATTATTTCAAATCAAGGATGTGAACAATTGGAAAGAACACTCTCAGTTCTTTCGTCGGACTTTCGCCTTCAATAGGACTTTGTAACGTTAATTAATCATGAAAAAGAGTAAGAAATATGAATCACTATTTTTTAACAAATATATTTTCAAGTGCAGCGATATTAAATTTTCAGATCATCTAGCACGATATTGAACATGACGATTCTATAGCAAAAATATATATTTTATTAATTTCCTCAGAAAGATGTTCACAAAAAGAGAAACAAGGCGAACTTCATTTACACATCCTCTGATGGTTAAATACAGATGATAAGTAATTAAATTTTACATATTTTTTAAACCAAACTTTGTAACGTTAATTAATCAAGAAAAAGAGTAAAAAATATGAATCACTATTTTTGAACAAATATATATTCTAGTAAAGTGATAGTAAATTTTCAGATCATCTAGCACGATACTGAACATGACGATTCTATAACAAAAATATATATTTTATTAATTTGCGCAGAAAGGGTGCGCACAAAGAGGGACAAAAGGCGAACTTCGTTTAAAAAAGAAGCCTTTTAGGCTAAGTTGTTAAATTTAAATTATTTATTCACAAAAGTTAAATTAATCCATTATTGGTTTAACTTCACGTTAATATTTCAATAAATCGTTTCGTTGAATTATGGTGAGATTTCTATTAGATATTTATTTTGAATAATGGTTTATTAGTACCTTATTTATTAGTTTTTAGTTAGTTATGATTTTAAGTTAGTTATTATTTCAATATCTTTTTTATCTTGTTATTTTAATATAATTCAATTCACCTTAGTTATCATTTCAAGAAATTATTTTCTATGGAAAGATTTTAAATATGAAGGTGGTTATGTTAAACCCGCATGTCTCGACGGTCGTGCGGAATGGTTGTTCTACAATCCAACCGTCAACCTGGCCGGACTGTAGCAAAAATTATCCAAGTTTTTATATTATTTTACATATTTGGTACTTACACTAAATAATTTAAATTTAATAACAAACCGTTTACTACTACGATACATGTGAATATAGATTCATTTGTAAAATTATATGCGAAAGAATGTAAGATCCAGCAGCTTGCAAATGTATCCCAAATGAGACACATACAACTCAATGCTGTAAACTGGAGTTGATAAGGAAGAAATTTAAGAACAGATGTACATAGATAATTTACGGGCAGTCAGACTGCGACAAAACCTCTAAATGTCTATGTTTTTAACTCCATGCTGCGAATGACTCACTTGCCTAGTGGCCCCAAGAACAAAGGTTGCCTTAAGGTGGGACAAGAAGGTACAGAACGAATCGAACACGCTGACATAGTAGGTAAAGAGTAAACAGTCTTCTAACCCACGTGAAAAACCACAGGTACGCAGTACATACTGTAGAATGTACTAAAGTTGAAGCTGAAAAAATGGCTTATTAGCACCTTATTTATTAGTTATTAGTTATGATTTTAAGTTAGTTATTATTTCAATATCTTTTTTATTTTGTTATTTCAATGTAATTGAATTCATCTTAGTTATTATTTCAAAAAATTATTTTTTGTAAAACGATTTTCGATGTGAAGGTGGTTATGTTAAACCCGCATGTCTCGACGGTCGTGCGGAATGGTTGTTCTCCAATCCAACCGTCAACATGGCAAAAATTGTCAAAGTTTTTATATTATTTTACAAATTTGGTACTTATACTAAATAATTTTAATTTAATAACAAAACTTTTACTACCACGACACACGAAAATTTAGATTCATTTGTAAAATGATATGCGAAAGAAGGTAAGAACCAGAAGCTTGCAACTGTTTCCCAAATGAGACACATGCAACCCAATTGTGTGAACAGGAGTTGATAAAGAAGAAATTTAAGAACAGATATACATAGATTATTTACGGACAGTCAGGCAGCGACAAAACCTCTAAATGCGTATGCAGTTTGCTCCAGTAAGGTGCAGAACGAAACAAAAGGCTGACCAAATAGGCAAAAAAAGAGACATATTAAATACTGTCAAACAACCGTTTACTATAAAAATAACGGGTCCAAGATACTCGCTGCCGAGCCCAAGCACAATTCTTGCATCGAGTGGCATTCCTACACGTTCTGTATATGGACCGAAGGAATGGCACCTTTCATTAATTGGGACACATCGAAAAACCTTCTCTACATGCCGAATACATACAATTCTTAATACATTTTTTTATCCTATCCTATATAAATTTTATTATCAGTCGAAAAGGCCATTTTGAACTTGTTCTGTATTAAGACTTGCCTCAGACACAAAAATTAAATGAGCCGGACCTGAAAACAGGCTGGCACACCAACTACATACAAAGATAGGAAGAATAGACAAATATTGATATATTACCAGTGGCTGACGATAAACACGTGATTTTACCATAACCAGTGAGTCCGTTGGAGGAGATGACCTAATAATTTAGACAAGGAAGATTTAGACATTATGGAGTTGTACGAAATTGTTTTTAAGAATTCAGGACATAAATATGAACTCCCTTAACACAACAAGATAAAACAATAGTAACATAAATAATAACAATAATACTATAACTTAGATTCTACTCTTGCGAGAAAAAAGTATTATTGTCCAAAACCCGCATCGTCAGATTTAATAAATAAAAAATTTCGATTAATTATTCTTTTTATCTAAGGACTTGGGTTCGAATCCCGCTCGAGGTTTCAATCTAATCTTACTTTCTCATTTCAACCAAGACCTTAGATAAAAAATAATAATTAATTGAAAAAATTAACATGGTCAATTACGACTGCTAAACCTATATGGATTCTTATTTTTTTAAATATTTATTTTTGTTTCTTTTAAGGGTATTACAGAATTAAAATAAAATCAGTATTTGACGATATTGACCACTTGGTTATTAGGATAGCGGATTTAAGCCTAATCCAACCGAAATCACAACTTGATCTTCTTTAGGGCAAAGTCCGACCTTTTAAGTCAAGAATGGCAGTCCATTTGGCATTATACCGAATCAAATTGTATCTCACAGGAAATGTACGTCATTAATCCAGGTCCTTAGAAAGTGAGACCATTATGAAAAAAAGCCGCTCTTTTACAATACGGATTGTACCTTTCCGATTTTTCCAATTGAATAAAATCACGAACAATCGGGCCGATTTAACCATACAATTAGACCAGTTTCACAAAGCATTTATCAAGTCGGGCGGCAAATACATTACGACCAGTTTGACCAGTTTCTACTAAAATCTGAGCGGATTCAGCGATAAACAATCTGTCGATATATGTAAAGGGGTGGCCACAAAACGTATTTCTGTCGCGGTCTAATCGAACGACATAAATCGATTAAACACGATGAAAGTACAATTTAACATCAAGTGTCATGCCGTTGAGAATCAGGGATTATTTCATTCCAATTATTTGATAAATTAGTCATAAAAAAGAATTCCTTGATATACAGGCTTTAAACCTGAAAATAACAACAGAAATTAATTGTGACACACAAAATTTTACGTTTTAAAAAATATTTTCCCCAAAGTTTTATTAAAGTGTAATTAGGCTGGTTATATTTTTTTCCATCAAATGTATTATAAAATTTAACTGTGATGTAAATGATAACCCCAAATATTCACGTTCAACTATTTATAAAATTTCATTTTTGAATTTCTATTTTTCGTAAGGTCAAAAATTATGTTTACTGTTTTTAAATATTATAACATGAGTTAGAGGTATTAAATCAAAGTTTCCAGTAGTCCCAATACATTTATAAAATTACTAAAAAAAATTTGTAACACGAAAAGGGACTCTGCCAACAATGCGATATCGTCAGCATGTATTAACAGTTTAATTTTCACGTTTCTGATTCCAACTCTACCGCACAAACACTACGATAGATAATCTATAAATAAAGCAAACAGCGAGGGTCTTAAGGTGCACCCTGTTTAACTCGTGACAGATTGCCAATATTTTGTGCCTGCGAAAGTCGTTACAACGCAATAATTTTTAGGACATACTTAGATCACTCACTTTGAAAAATACAGCATTTACATCTACTGTCAAAGGCGGCGGAAAAATCAACAAAAACGCGTACACATTTCGTTTATTGACATTAAATTTTATGCTTATTATTCCAGTCAGATCATATAAGTTATCGTCGGTTGAGAAGCCCATTCTAAAACTGCCCTAACAATAGTAATAATTTCACTAGTTTCGTGATCCGTTTGACCAATTAATATTTTTCAATTAATTAAGGTTTTCAGTTGAGATAAAAAAGTCAGTGTCAAGAGCGGGATGGGACAATGGTGAAGCGACCACGAAAGTAGTGAATTTATTAAGTTTAAATATACCTGCACTAAAGCTCTCCGTGCCATTTCATTTGTCGCCGAGAATCAAATAGATTACTCGCCATTTGAAAAATGACAAAAAGGAAGGAAAATTCAAAAAGGTGGAGTTCAGATGGGAAGTTAGTGTCCGGGTGGATCGAAGTCAGGATAGCTCAAGTGGAAGAGCAGCGGCGTATTGAACCGAAGATCGTGGGTTCGAATCCCGCTCGTGACACTGACGTTTTTATCTCAACTAAAAATCTTAATTAATTAAAAAATAATAATAATTAATAAATCTTGATTTGCAAGAATGTACATTGAATATAAATTTACATCAAAAAATCATTGCTAAATCCCCTGTCAGCTGTAAAAAAAACAAAGCTTGTACTAGACAGCATGAGGTTTTTGTACATTATAAGAGAAATAAACAGAATATATTTTTACAAAGGCTAATGAAAAACGAACATAATACAGAATAAACGTGTAGCATGAAAAAAAACTAAATTAAATCTTGCCTTTAAAATATCTTAATTAAATTTAAAATTTCTGAAATTATAAATTTGTTGCGTTTTTTGAAATTTTGAATTACTCTCATTTTATAAAAAAACGAAGTGCCATATTTAATGAAAAGTTATATAATATTGCGTAGTTTTTGTATTGTAAAAATGTGAGTCCGCCAATGAATTGCGTCTTGTGTTATATTTACTGATGTAACTTTATATACAGGGGTGTTCGGCTACTCGTGTTACAAACTTTGCTTAATTTAAATCTACATTCAAAAAGGAACCAAACAATACTAATTAACTATGGTCCGAATCTCAGCAGTTTCGGAGTTATTCTATTTTTTCTGACATTTTAAGATTTCACGATCTTGCTTCAAATAAACAATGATAACTCCAAAACTAAAAGGTCTTGAACAAATCCATTAATACTAATGAAAGCTGCGTTAAATGTCCAATAAGATGTGATCAATACTAAACTTGTAAACGTTGGTAAAATAATCTTTTTAGTAGCCAGAACTATGAAAAATAATTTTTTGTTCAATGGCCAACTTATTATATTGATTTTAAACTACTATTTCCAAACCAAGATACCAGCGAATTTCATCAAACGTACTCCATTTAATATCCTTTTTAGCTGTGTAATTGCTTTTTCAATTACTTTTTCAAAGATGAAGAAATTGATAAAAGAAAGAAAAAAAACCGTGGCTGATGGATTGGCAAGGTGGAAAGATTAATAATACCTTGTATATACAAAGATAAAAATTTAAGAAAAATGTGGTTTAGCTACATTACTTTAAATTCACCCCATAAATTTTTCGTAAATATAAATATTACAATTACATATAAATTCATTTTTTTTTAATCTAAAATTTTCTACCTATGTATAAATTCATTGTTTTNATAATATATATATATTTTCTAACCTCAATGTAAATATATAAATAGTTAAAGATATATCTATGTACAGATTGTAATAAAACGTTGAAAAAACCTCTAGCGATGTTAGTTTAGGAAGCCGGTGGTCGGAAAGATATAGGATCGTGTACAGATAAGAGACGTGTAATTTTAATGAGTATAAGAAAATGAGGTCAACCTAGGACTCCAAAAAAAATCGCATTATTAAGGGTGAACAAAGGGAAGAGAAAGACTTTGCGAACAAAATAGGGTTGTAAGGCTTCGTATCATGCCGTTGAAAGCACCAACCCTGACTACATGGCATATGATAGAGCAGCACAGCTAAAATCAACTTGAATTTTCTGCTAACAGGAATGAGATTATTACAGATAAAACGCATATTTTGCGGTATGAATGTCGCGTTTGAGGTTGACGGCCAGATTTAGATTTAAAAAAATCCCAGATATTTATTTCTATTGACAATTTCAATAAAAATACGCCATAGTTTTTGACTGTGAATGGTTGAAAGATTCCATTTATCACAGTAGGTCTCCAAGGCCTTAATATTTTTCGCACTGCGTCTGGGGAGTCTCTCGTATTTCCATATTTATATTGATTCATATTCAATACATTGAGGGAGGTTATATCTTTTACAAATCTAGATGTATTATATAGAAATTAAACAGTGCAAATAGCTCATCTGATTTTTTGTTTGTTATAAAACCTTACAGGGTGTTAAGAGAAATATATGTAGTAATCAAATTAAGCCAAGTTGTTTTGTTAATTACTTTAAATCTTTAAATTTAAACTTCAGATGTCATTTGTTAGCATCTCTTAACTGCCTAATACTACCGATTTGACTGTAGACGAATTTTTTACTCTTTCTGAAAAGTGTTCAATACTTGCTAAATCCCAAAATAAGTAGGCTCCTGGTTTAGACCGACTTCCTTGTCCTGAATTATTTTTAACTTCACTAGTTTTCGTGATCCACTTGACCAAATAATATCTTTCAATTAATTAAGGTTTTCAGTTGAGATAAAAAAAGTCAATGTCACGAGCGGGATTCGAACCCACGACCTTCGGCTAGATACGCCGCTGAACTACCACTTGACCGCGATCCACTCGGACACTAACTTCCCATCTCAACCCCCACCTTTTGAGTTTTCCCTCCTTTTTGCCATTTTTCAAATGTCGTGTAATCTACTTGATTCTCGGCCACTAATGAAACGGCCACGGAGAGCTTTAGTGAAGATATACTTCATTTTAACCTATGAATTCTCTAGTTTTCTAGTTTCACTAGTAATAATATTTTTGGAAAAATAACTATTATAAATGTTGTAAAAATTGTTATTATATATTCATTTAATGAAGTTCATTAATTCATTCATAATAAAGAAAAATTTATAAGAAAATATAATTAATATTAAGTTAAAGAGTGGAGATTAAGTGAAACATTGTATCAGACGTTTTCGGCATCTCGTGGAAGCGCTGAAAAATAAATGGAAATTGTGATGAGAACGTCCGTCAGGCACTTGATGTTTCAAAAGAAGCCTACGGTAAAATGAAACAGCAAAAACAGACTCTCGAGTTAAAAAATATTGATTCAATGTAAATATTTTATCCCTTGTAAAAACCGTCAACATAAATTGCGATCGGCTGTGAAAGAACGGTGTTTTTTTAACGATTCTATATTTATTTGTTTTTACACTCAATTTTTCAGAAATGTTTTCTTTGTATTGTACAAATGTAATTCAATGCTCAAATGTCACTTTTAAAAGATTTTTTGGTAATTTTTTTTTTCATCCTAGATGTCGGTGATATACAACCCGATAGTCTACGGGCTATCCCATCCCCATTTCCAGTCGTCCGTCAAGCAGTACTTATCCACCTGGATGGCCAGCTCTTCGAACAACTCGAAAGACAACGAAGAACCGACGACCGGACGTAACGCGGCCGTCGCGCTCAATCCAATCAAACACGATCAACATTTCAGGTAAAACAATTTAAAAAACACTTGATAAAATAAAATATTAAAATTAATTAACCTAAAATAATATTAAATCTATTAGAGTTCGTAGTCCGATTGACCAAATAACTTCTTTCAATTAACTAAAGTTAATGCAAGGTATTGGTTGAGATAAAAAAAGTCAGTGTCACGAGTGGGATTCGAACCCACGACCTTCGGCTCAATACGCCGCTGCTCTACCACTTGAGCTATCGTGACTTCCATCCACTCGGACACCAACTTCCCATCCCAACTCCCACCTTTTGAATTATCTCTCCGTGGCCATTTTTCAATCTCAATCAATTTATCTCAACCAATATCTTACATAAAGTTTAATTAATAAAATAATATAATAAATACAAAACGATTTTATTTGAAATTAAAAATTGACATGTGTTATTATTATAGTAGGTTATAAAAAATTCCATGTCAAGTTTGTATATTTAATAGCAATGTTAATAGCTATGTTTTTCTATAACTAACCAAGCGTTACCGATGCTGTATTATTTTGGCACATTGGTTGCCTTAAATAAGAAATGATTAGGTTTTACCATCTGGAGCATCTAGCCAAATGTGTCATAGCTATTCGATTAGGTTATGTCAGCTGATTGTGACAATGTTTCATTAACGATTCCCACTCACTTATCTCCATTACAACAAATAGTCCATTATACATTTCTGAGTGGATTTCAAGTCACGGTTTAAACACCTTATACGAAGTCGATGCAGAATGACTTCAGCCATAAAATTGGTTCAGTGCGTAGTTACCAGGTACCAAACAAAATTACAAAAGCCATGAACGGTTAACTGAAAGCGCAATAGCTGCAAAAAATGTGTAGGTTAATTTCTTTAATCAATAGATGTTCTAGATCAAAATAATGAAGTAATTATCCAACTGAATTCTTAAATTCTCACCATCGTTAATGTGAAGTTTGGTATTCCGACCATTTTTCTTAGAAACAATTTGTTGAAGTCGTGAAGAGCGGTCAAGAATGAGGTGGTTGAGAAAAACACCTTTTTTATTTTTTCGCCGTATCTTCAGGACATAAAGTGTGGTGCTATTCTTGTGGTGTCGTATTGGTGTTGTGTTACAAGATTGCCCTGAAGATGACCCGGAACAAGGTCGAAACGTCGGCAAAAAAATGAAAAAGGTGTTTTTCTAAACTACCTCATTCTTGACCGCTCCTCGAGACTTCAACAAATTATAAAAAAACGTGTCACTCAACAAACACACACTTCTTAGAAACGTTGAGCCACCCGTCTTTGGGGGTACAAGACTGGCCGCCAAAAGATTACTAAACAATACAATCGAATTTTTATCTAGGATAAGAAAAAAAATAGATCATATTAAACGAGGCTGGTTACATAAAATGTTCAAAAATAATATGAGTCATGTAGATCAGAAAATAATTTTGAAAAAAAAGCAATTCGCATTTGTTTAAGCACCCTTTAAAGCCCTTAAATACGAATTTGTACAGCAAACAAAAATTGACATTTTTGGGTTTGCCTGTATGTTGTCTGAGCGATGTTCCACTTAAAAATTCATACCCTCCCTGTATTTATGGATGCCACGTTCATGTTATTATTGTAGGGTTCTATATTATTTTATGATTCTTAAAAAAAAATGTTATGGTAAGTGAGTGTTTCAGAAAAATATTTATTTTCAATTTTCCAAAAAATTTGTAGTCAGAAGTTTAAAAAAAATTGTTCTCGACGAAAGAAAGTCAGGTTTGTTCTAAGCTTCCTTTAAAACAGTGAAATACTGATTTAGTTAATTTAATTTAATTTTAGCAGATAAATCAAGAATTTCTCTCTCTTTCTCCTCTCTCTCTCTCTCTCTCTCTCTCTCTCTCTCTCTCTCTCTCTCCCTCCTTCCCTCTTTTAATATTTTCCCCATCTTTTTTCTTATTTGTCTCTATTTTTCTTCTATACTTTTCTCGATCTTTTCTCTTATTGTTTATCTCTCTTCTGTCCGTTTCTTAATTTTTTTTTCTTTATCTCCCTCCAACTTTTTTCTTTCTTTCTTCTTCTCTCACTCTCTCTCTCTCTCTTTCTCACTCTCTTTCTCTCTCTCTACCTCTCTCTCCCTCTCACATTCTATCTCTCCCACTCCTTCGCTTGCTTCCGCTCCCTCTCTCACTCTCTCTTTCCCCCTCTCCCTTTTCTAATATTTTCCCCATCTTTTTTCTTATTTTTCTCTATTTTTCTTCTATACTTTTTCTCTCTCTACTGTCCTTTCCTCTATTTTTCTTTCGTTATCTCTCTCCATCTTTTTAATCTTCTCTCTCTCTCTCTCTCTCTCTCTCTTACTTTCTCTCACGCTCCCTTTCTCACTCTCCCTCTCTCTTTCCCTCTCTCTCTCCAGCTCCCACTCCCTCTCTCACTCCCCCCTCTTCTAATCTTTTTCCCATCTTTTTTTATTTGTCTCTAATTTTCTTCTTTACTCTCCTAGATCTTTTTCCTTATTCTTTTTCTCTCTCTTCTGTGCTTTTCCTAATTTTTTCCCTTACCTCTCTCAATATTTTTTATCTTCTCTCTCCATCTCTCTTATCTCTTTATCTCATCTTTCCTATTTTTTATTCTCTCTCTCCTTTATGTTTATATTATACCTATTGGAAAGCTATATTTCCCGTTTTCGGAACTCTTTTTTCTTTTTCGGTTGTGCCAAGAAATCAGTGGCATTTGAAAGTCGAAAAATATACTAATTTTGTAAAAATTATGTTGTCTTATTAATTACCAGCAAATTTTATTCAGAAGTACGTCAGAGTGTAAAACAACTATAATATGTAATTTATCTTGTGCTTCGCAATATCTCACCAACAAATTAATATTACGTTGCAATAAACATGGTCGTCCGCAACTAACCATTACGTCTTGGAAAATGGGTTTTGACATGGGTCGAGCTTAAAGGTTTTTGAGGAAAACAAATGTGAAAAATTTACTTTTGCTCGCAGTGTTTGGTGCTACAGGTACGAATTTTTATGAAATTAATTTCTGGCATACGTCTTAAATTATTTGAATAAAAAAAGTTTTCTTTTTTCCACCTATTTTTTAGTTCGTTAATTACGATTATTGCCTTCTGTTTTGTTTAAAATTTCCAGTTAACATGTTAAACTAAAAGCCTAACCTTTATTATGTTTTCCTTCTGTTTTGTAGAGATTTCTTTCTTTTATGTATACCTATTTATTTTTCCCAATTTTTTTTAGCATTTTTTAAAAATATTTCTTTGGTATAGTTTACGTCTTGTATAGAAAATTTTTTAAGGCGTTCTTCGGCAAATTGTTTAATTGTTTTCGACCTATTAGGACCAAAAATTTAGAAAAACACCTTTTTCATTTTTTTGCCCTATCTACAGGACATAAAGTGTGTTGCTATTCTTGTGGTGTCATATTGGTGTTGTATTACAAGATTGCTCTGAAGATGACCCGAAACAAGGTCGAAACGTCGGCAAAAAAATGAAAAAGGTGTTTTCTAAACTACCTCATCCTTGACCGCTCCTCACGACTTCAACAAATTATGAAAAAACAGGTTACATAAAATGTGCAAAAATAATAGAACTCATGTAGGTCAGAAAAGAAATTCGGAAAAAAAAGCAATTCGCATTTGTTTAAGTACCCTTTAAAGCCCTTAAATACGAATTTTTTAAAAAATTTAGTTTTGCTTGCAGTGTTTAGTGCTACAGCTACGAAGTTTTATGCAATTAATTTCTGGCGTACGTCTTGAATTATTTTACTTTGAATTATTTGAAAAAAAGGTTTTCTTTTTTTCCACCTATTTCTTAGTTCGTTAATTATGATTACTACCTTCTGTTTTGTTTAAAATTTCCAGTTCACATGTAAGTTAAAAGTCTTCCTTTGTTATGTTTTCCTTCTGTTTTGGATTTATTTCTTTTATGTATACCTAATTCTTTTTCCCCATTTTTTTTATTTTCAATTTTTTATTATTTTTAAATATAATTCTTTGGTATAGTTTACATCTTGTCTAGAAAATTTTTTAAGGCGTTCTTCGGCAGATTGTTTAATTGTTTTCGACCTATTACGACCGAAAATTGTTTAATCCGACTCGGTAATTCCACATTCGCAGGTCCCATTTTTTTGTGTGCCCATAGAATAAATTATATATGATGTAAATTCTTGTCAGGTCCGCCTTTACCCCCTTCTACAAATGTGCGCAATCCGATTCTACCTTCCACGGGTTTATTACCTGCGATTGTTACCAATTACACTGGTACGAGGCACTCGACTGAAAAGACGTGAAACTGGTATTACAAATTACACCAAAGATTACAAAGTCAATGATCTAATTTTCCACCTTACACATTTACTGGGCATTTGGGTGAAATGGACTCGGGGTCGAAGTACAGATTCCTTTCAGTCAGTTTGTAAAATCCTCAATCCTTATTAATCCGGAACTATTCGAATTGAACATAATTTGAGTATTAAACTTAATCCCCATCCTGTTCATTTTAAACTAGCGGCTGCTTTGTTCGACCCATACCACCATAATCCAGCAGTTTATATCTAAATTTAGATTATTCGTGTAAATTAAACTTTATTTCGCCATTGTGAAATAATAACAATATAATAATATATTGTTAAAGAGAAAAACATGAAACAGTCGATACAGCAAATATAAATAAAATTTGATTGGTTATAACCTTCTCGTTTGATGATTTGTGTGAAATGTTCATTTATTCAGTTTATTTATTATTTATTACAGGGAAAGGCGACACTCAGAGATAATTGCTTCTGCACAATCCACTCGGAAACCCGACATTGGATAAAACAAACTAATTTACACTAACCTCGTTCCCAGTGGAGAACTAGCTCATAAACTTTGAACAATCAGAAACAACTTTTAGAGTAAATAATCGTTAAATTCATTTATTTTCCTTTAAGCCTACTTTCAACTTGAGATCAACTTAGATTTGACGTAAGCTGTTTCTGCGGGAATTACGAGATTTTATTGAACGTACCGAAATTTCCCGTATCATAAGTAGATACAAACGTCACCCCCATGGTCATTTTCTCGATTCACGTGGATGTTTGTAATTGATAAATAATACATAATGCGAGAACCACATTGAGAGATGTTTCAGAAAAACTGAAAAACAGGAAGAACCACAAAGAATCTTACAATTTTGAACCATGAATATATTTGTGGGCTGGATACACAATATTTTTTAATCACAGTGACAGATGGATAGAGTTAGATAGATAGAAAGATATATATATATATATGGNAGAGAGAGAGAGAGAGAGAGAGAGAGAGAGAGAGAGGGAGAGGTGAGTTCTCCTGAATCTTTCTTACATTTAACAAGCAATCACAATTAATATTTATCCAGAAAGATATATATTGATAGCGATGGAGAGACAGAGAAAGGAATGTAGAAAAAGAATGAAAGAAAAAGCTACAATGACAGATGGATAGAACTAGAAATAGATATATCGATAGATGCATAGAGATAAATAGATAGATACATAAATAGATAGATAGATAGATAGAGAGAGAAAGAGAGAGAGAGAGAGAGAGAGAGAGAGAGAGAAAGAGAAAGGGAGATTTTTTTAGCTTATTGTGCTTTTCTCAGCTCTTTAGCTTATTTTATTACTCAATCCTTTTTTTCGAATAAACATCTATTTTTTTCTAATTAATTTTTTTAACTCCCTCATTTCTTGTTCAAAAGAATATAACTTTATGATTGAAAATCAAGTTCTAAATTTTTACCGTACTTGAGAATCTTTTCAAAGCCATTTAATTTGTTTAAAGCGAGGACAAAAGTTACAATTTTCAATGCGATTTTTTTCAATGTCGTTTGTTCTATAACAACCTACCTGATTTGGCTTTATTTTTCTCAGCATAATATCAATTAGTAACTCCTTTTTTTAAATGGTGAAGCGAGAAAATAATATTATAGTATATAATCCAGTAATTATATACTAGAGTACTTAATAGTATGACAGCTGAGTAGATTGGATCCTAAATTTATTTGCTATGTGTAATTAAATCTACGTATTGTTCTTGAAAAAAAATAAATACTGCTTTGGAACACTGCAAAAACCGTCCCTCAGCAGAACAACTCACTTAATTTAAATCAAAACTCCCTAACACCATACAACCAGTTTGGTTAGGATCCCAATCGAATCAGTAGATTTCAAAGAGAACAGTAAAACAAAATACAAAGCTACTTCCTACGCGAAATGCCATGGGTTTCTGATTAAACCGACAATCAGTCGACAATGTCACAGCTGTAAACTTACAGCGACGCCCGCGCAAAATCAACAACATTGACATTCCGCAAACAACGCGGAATGACGAAGATCGAAGCAATACATCGTTATCAATACACGAAAATGAATGTGTTATAATTTATTCTATAGTCAAAGAATTATTTTAACTTTTCAAATCCCCATCAACATTTAATTTAACCAAACCAAGGAACAACAAAACATAATTTTTTTCTTATTTTCTTACAAAAATATTTCTAACTGATTATAAAGTAAAATTTATGCAAGGTCTGGCGGCAGTGAGCTCTTTTTAAATGGAAAACAGTAAATTATTTATTCTTGCTTTTCCGCAATCATAGTTGATCTTGATTCACGCGTACGCCCATTGACGCTTGTCAAAAAGAAAAGTCAAACTTGGGAAAACTGAAGGCCCAGTGGGAAAACGAGATTTTAAAAAAAAATTTTTTCTTTTCAAAGGGTTTCCATTCGAATGGATTTCTTTTTATCAATGCCAAACAGGAAAACGTGCATTGAAACAAGACTATCTTTCCCTTTCGCTTTATTTTCATCTCTCTCCCTCTCTTTCTCCCCCCCCCTCTCTCTCTCTCTCTCTCTCCCTCAAATAAACTTTGGTTGGTCTTAAAGTGTATTTAAACTTTTTGAACTGATCTATATTGATTGTGTTACTGGGTTTGCCTACTCTAGCTTGCCTGTTTTTTTTCACTCATATGAGTCTCTCTCTTTCTCGTCTCTCGCACTCTCTCTCTTTCTTTCTCTGTCCCTCTCCCTTCTAATCTTCTCTCTTTCTCTCTCGCTTGTTCTCTCTCTCACTCTCTCACTCTCTCTCGTTCTCTTTTTTTACTTGTATTCTTCTCTCTGACTCTGTCTGTGGGTCTGTCTGTCTGTCTGTCTGTCTCTCTCTCTCTCTCTCTCTCTCTCTCTCTCTCTCTCTCTCTCTCTCTTTTATATTATTCTATCAGTCTCTGAATGTTTATTCTCACTTTTATTAAAATATTGTTCAGAATTATCTTGAGATTGTATAATGTTTTCACGCTTCCACATATTACATACTGTTTATCTGCAAAATCATAAAAATTAAAAGTAATTTTAAACTCATACATAAGTCACGATTGAATTCTTATGTAAACAATTTTACTTTTGGTTTGTACAAATTATTAAATTTTAAAACTACACGTTTAAATATGATGCTTGGAAATCCATTATGCAGAAAACAATCATATAAAACTTTATTTATTCCAAAAAGTTTTCAATTTTAAAACGAACTTTCCAACTCTGTAAAAACGTATAAATTCAAATATTCGTATAAAAAGACCTAAAAAATATCTCTCACGTATTTTCCACCTAATTAATTAAACATATTGCACTTTAGAAAACATATTACATTTTATAAGCTTGAAGCCCAACAACAACAATTATCTTGGTTTTTTATGAATAAAAAGTTAATAAAAATACATTATACTAATTATTAATCACACTTTTCGTGGTAAGAATTTTTGCAATTCAGTTTTATTTATTTTTGTTTCCTCTATGTATATAATTTTCTACCTAATATGTATATAAGTTTTCTTGATGATTTCCTGGTAATTGTAAGAAGTTAATTGTTCTCTTTTTCAATTTGTAGAGAATTTTATGTTTTTAAGATAGAGTTTAATTTTATTTAATTGATAACTATAAAGACATAATTATGTAAAGAATTTTACTTTTGGTTTGTACAAATTATTTCTGAAAACGATAACATGGTATAATTTCAATGTACCTCGTTAAATGTAAGAAATGTCCTTGAGAAAAGGATAGAAGAAAAAGAGATAGAGAAAAAAAAGTTAGAATGAGGGGGTGAATTACAAAAAGGAACAAAGATGGAGAGGGAGATAAGGAAATAATTTAAAAAATATGAAGAAAAGAATAGTGGAGAGAGAAAGAATAAGGAAAAGATCGAGAAAAGGATAGAAGAAAGAGAGAGAGAGAGAGAGAAATTAAAAAAGATCGAATGAGAGGGTGAATTAGAAAAAGGAACAAAGATGGAGAGAGATAAAGAAATTAGTGAAAAATGTGGAGAAAAGAATAGAAGAGAGAGAGAGAAAAAAATAAGGAAAAAGATCGAGACAAGGATACATTTTCTCCTAATTTTGCTTGTAAAATTAAAATAATAACATCAAAATCAAATCTCTCTCCCTCCTTCTCACTCTCTCTCTCTCTCTCTCACTCACTCACTCTCCTAATCTCTCTCTCTCTCTCTCTCTCTCTCTCTCTCACTCTCTCTCACCCTCTCGCCCTCTCTCTCTTCTATTTTATTCTATTCTCCTCTCTGTATCTATCTCTCTCTCTTTTGCTCTCTCCCTCTCTCTCTCTTTTTCTCTCTCCTTCTCTCTCTCTCTTCTATTTTATTCTATTCTTATCTCTGTCTTTATCTGTATCTTTTTCTTTCCCTTTTATTCTCTTTCTCTCCTTTCTCTCTCTCTCTCTCTCTTTCTCTCTCTTCTCTATCTTCTTTCCTTCTCTCTCTCTCTCTCTCTCTCTCTCACTTACTCACTCTCCTAACTCTCTCTCTCTCTCTCTCTCTCTCACCCTCTCACCCTCTCTCTCTTCTATTTTATTCTATTCTCCTCTCTGTATCTATCTCTCTCTCTTTTGCTCTCTCCCTCTCTCTCTCTTTTTCTCTCTTCTTCTCTCTCTCTCTTCTATTTAGTCTCGTCGGACAGCGGTGCGTTAGTTAGACGACCGCCCACCCTAAGAACTCCCTTTGAATCTATAAATGGAGCGAGTGATTTCAAATCGGAGTGAATTTTTGTTGTTATTTCTTTCTGTACCGCGACATAAAGACAGGTGGAGGCGTTACGTAGTTCTGACAGTTCAAGAAAACTGTATTCTCTTTCATCAGCAGGGACTCTGCAGTTATGTGTGATACGTATGACATATGCCATGATTCTGATCAATTTACTGTATGAGGATGATCTATCTATCAATTCAATGAATGGTGATGGGTACTTATCTAAACTAAGTAAAACAGTTTCTGATTTTATCTCAGGTAAATCCTCTCCAACCACAACGTCCAACGATTTGATTGGCCAGTCGTTAATAGGGAGCCTAATCCAACTGGGTCCGAGCCACCATGAATCGAGGTGTACGAGGTTGGATGGCGATTCACCCCGTGAGGCAACATCTGCGGCGTTGTTTGCAGATGCCACGTGAAACCATGAATAATCATTAGATAGTTCTTGAATAATACTGATGCGGTTTGCTACGAAGGTCTTCATGCGATGGAGCGGTAGACGGCTCCACGATAACACTGTCATTGAATCCGAAAACAAGTAAATCTTTCTTACGTTGATTCTGTCAAAGAAGTTAGATAGAAATTTAATTGTTCGAACCAGTAACAGAGCAGCGCATAGCTCTNGGTGAGGTCAGCGAGTGGAGCGGCGAGTCACAAAACAAATGCGGAGGAGATCGACACGCACAAAAGAAGAAACGGTCGCGAATAAATTGCGCATGTAACTCGTACACAAAGTCTTACACAAATTTACGGGTTGCGGGACTGCCTCGAACACGTGCGAGTAGCGAAGAAGAGCGTCTCTGGGCCTCGTCGTCAAGCGAGTCTCCACAACAAAACCCGTCACTTCACGGCCTTTTAGATGCGCGACGTACAGATCACAAAATTCACACTTAACAACAATAATTACATGTAACTTATACTAATTATTTTTAAAAACAAAATATATACAATATATACAAAACATAGTATGCGTTAACAACATCAAAACATGGTAAATCTGAGCATACTTGACGTTAGAGTTTTAGGTCATGGAGGTTCGATGAAAGTAGTCAAGATGAATTGGAACATCACAGAATTTAGAAATAATTGGCACATAATCTGGAACTTCAAGTTCGTTTTACGAATTGTTCATTCGGTGTTGATTTAAAGGTGAATTTTTCGGCTTTAATAGGCTCAGAGGATTTTTAACCGCCTCAGGATTTTCACCCGTGATTGTCGATTTCGTCAAAACCATTGACAAGGTTAATTATAAAGTTCCAGGCTTCATTTCGATCTGGGCGGAACTTTACACGAGATAAAAGGGGCGTAATTTGGTTTGTTAGGTTTTTCGCAAAAATAATTAATGCTGTTCGTGTTTTTAATCACAAAAGAGAGGTCGACAATGACGACTCGTCATGATTTTCGATTCAAAATTTTTTCGATATATTATACTAAATTGTAAATTGTTATAATTTTTTCCTTTGGGATTTAATACAGTCGTTTGGTAGAAAGGTTTGCAGTTGAAATCAAGAAAATAAAAAAATAACCCTTTTTCTATAACTCCGTCCCAATTCATCTTATTTTAAAGACGGCATTTGCTGATCTGTCCTCTTCGGAGGTATTCTTCTTATCTGACGTCTTGTGTCCATCTGTTCATCCGACTTCTGAAATTTTGCAGTTTTCTTTTATATGCTTCCAAAATAATTTTCAATGACAGAGCTGCAAGATTGACCTATGCTGCTGCAGTGTTCTGTTGGTGGCACTGGTAAAAGGTTTTTTTCACGGATGCTTTCATGAGTCACCTTTATTTTTACAAGTTCGTTAAGTTAAAAATTACTTCCTGTGATATATCAATTTTAAACTTTTTCTTCATATATTGACTATAATTGTGCTTTTATTGTAAGCCTCTTAATTGACACAATCACTTCTATCCTTCTCTCAATTTTTATTAATTCCTCTCTTTTTTTTCTGCTATTCTTTTCTCGATCTTTTCCTTATTTTTTTCTCTCTTTATACTATTTTTTCTCCATGTTTTTTTTAATTATCTCTTTATCTCTCTCTCTCCATCTTTTTTCCTTGTTATAATTCACCCTCTCATTCTATAATTTTTTTTAATTTCTCTGTTTCTTTTTATTATATCAATTTCTTGATTTTTGCCTTACACTTTTTCTCTCTCTCTGCTATTCTTTTGTCCATTTTTTAACTTATTTCTTTATCTCTCTCTCCATCTTTGTTCCTTTTTCTAACTCAACCTTTTTTTCTATTGTTTTTTATTTCTCCCTCTTTTTTTCTTCTATCCATTTCTCGACATTTTTCGTTACACTTTTTCTCTCTATCTACTATTCTTATCTTCATATTTTTTACATATTTCTTTATCTCTCTCTCCATCTTTGTTTCTTTTTATAATTCACCCCCTCATTCCATAATTTTTTTTATTTCTCCCTCTTTTTTCTTTTATCCATCTTTTTCATTATTTTTTTCTCTTTCTCTCTACTATTCTTTTCTCCATATTTTTTACTTATTTCTTTATTTCTTTTCCCATCATTTTTCTTTTTCTAATTCACCCCTCATTCTATCATTTTTTTATTTCTCTCTCTCTTTTTTTCTTGTATCCTTTTCTCGATCTTTTCCTTATTTTGCTCTCTCTCTCGTCTACTATTCTTTTCTCCATATTTTTTCCTTATCTCTCTCCATCTCTTTTCTTTTCTAATTCACCCCTTTATTCTATAATTTCTTCATTTCTTTCTCTCTTTTTTTTTATTTTTTATTTTCCTCGACCTTTTTCCTTTTTTTCTCTATTTCTACTATTTTTCTCCATATTTTTTTAACTTATTTCTTTATATCTCCCTCTACATCTTTGTTCCTGTTTCTAACTCACCCTCTCATTCTATCTATTTTTTTGTTTCTCTCTCTCTTTTTTTTCTTTTATACTTTTATCGATCTTTATCCTTATTTTTTCTCTTCCTCTACTATTCTTTTCTCCATCTTTTTACTTACTTTTTTCTCTCTCTTCGTTTTTTTTCTAACTCACCCCCTCATTCTCATTCTTTCTATTATTTTCTTCTATCCTTTTTTCAATTTTTTTACTTTTTCTTTTCTACTTCACTCTCTTATTGACACACACACACACAGACTTTCTGTCTGTCTGTCTCTCTGTCTGTCTGTCTCTCTCTCTCTCTCTCTCTCTCTCTCTCTCTCTCTCTCTCTTATTAATAATTAGCTTTATTAATCACCTCGTCAACTCATTGTTTTAAATTCTTCATTGTTTAATTTTTTTAGCTGTTAAATTTATTTTTCTATTATTTTTTTCTGAAAATATTGCAATAAAATACTATTTAAGCGATCTAATAAATTTTATTTCGGTTTTAGGTGTTTTTCGAGTAAAACATTTGAGGACGTTGATCTAGGAGGGCACTTGGACGATCAAGACGTTAGGTACTTAAAATTAGCTGGAAACTAAACAAAATGATTATTGTTTTCTAATATTTTGAATAATTTCAAATTAGTAATAACAATTATTATATTGTTTTAGGGTTATTCAGGAGAAAATTTATCAGACGATTAAAAAAGATTCCCCAATCAAAAGAGTCCAGCCCATCACTCTGACCCGAACGGTAATTTTTTTATTTAAATAAGCAATTAATCATAAATAGCCGGTTTTATTAACCTAAGATCTGAAATATTAAGCCCATAAAATGTTTGAGCATATTTAATCGTAAAAATTTACAAGTGTTGCCATATCTACTTTTTTATCGATCTATGATTAAGGATTCATTGTAAAATTACACCAATGGTTATAAATACATACTTCCAGTTTTACTGTGTTTTACAATTTTTATGGTTCGGCTTGGAATTGATAATGGTTCAATAATAAACTTTCCTGGGGGGGGGGGAAATTGATTGTTTTGTTTACACTTCGAGCTGGCCAACAGCCACTGCCATTTTGAATCGATGCTGTCTGTCGAAAATGTCTCCTGGAGTGAAAACAATTTTCTAAAAGCAATTCAAATTCAGCATGTACGACCGTATGATTGAAATGCCACATCCAGTGTCAGAATAACAAAACTTATAACCTAAAAAGAATATCCCAAAATCTGTCCAAAAAACGTTTAAAAATGGGCAGACGGCAGACAATAAACCAACGAGACTTTTATTTTGCTTTTATTTACAGTATTATCTTTTACCCCCATAATTTTCGAATACGTTCACTTTTATAATAGCTTGTTTTAGGTAAGTCCGAAAGTTGTGATGGCCTAAAAAACATAAAGAATGCGCGATTTTTGATCACACTTACAAATCCTTTTGGTACTGATTTTTTATGCCCTTCATAAATTATTTTTAACAACAAAAAATGGCAAAAAGGAGGGAAAATTCGAAAAGGTAGGTTGAGATGGGAAGTTGGTGTCCGAGTGGATCGAAGTCACGATAGCTGAAGTGGTAGAGCAGCGGCGTATCTAGCCGAAGATCGTGGGTTCGAATCCCGCTCGTGCATTGACTTTTTTATCTCAACTAAAAACCTTAATTAATCGTAATTTTTAACAACCTGCTTTATTTCTTTAATAAATAAACAAAAAGCATCAGACAACTGATACTTGTGAAATTATCATTGCATTGCCCCTTGCTTTTCATTTTTTAATAAAATTTAAACAAATAAATTTCACAGTATACATTTAATTATTTTATTTGTCTTTTCATATTGCCTGGACCAATAAATGTATCAAATAATTTTTTATTAAATATATAACATTAATTTTGGAGAATGCAAAAAGTCTATTGAGTCCTGATGTTCATAATTGAAATTGTACTTTTGATTCTGGTCCACCGGGCCATTTTTTTTTTTTTTTTTAAGTTCTGTATAAGACATTTGTATACATTTAGGTTGCCTAAGAGGTCCTTCCAGGCGTGGCATAATAGAGCTTGAGGACCGCAGTAAAAATCTTCTCTATGTTTTGTCGTTATATCTTAGCTAAATAGTCGTTTCAGCATTAACTACCTCTGCCCTGACTCCTCTCTCTGATTTGGTCCTGTCTGTATATAATACCAAGGTTAAGAATCCTACTTCTTAAAATTTTGCAAATCCTTTTTTTCGCTTATCGTTGAGTTCTTCGTACTCTTTATATTATGGGCGAAGGCCCTGAAGGGTCCAGTAGGGTCATTGTTACCTATGATGTTTTTTTTTCTTCTTTTCATCATGGTTGGTAATAGGAACGGCTTGCTTGTTCTGTGAATACCTGATAAGAAGGGCTTTCAGGGAAAGAACATCAATAACAGGTATTTCCTGACTGACCAGGTACGAGTATGGTATCTGAGACGAAAGGAGCACATCCTTGCTTTGACTAAGAGAGCCATAGGACTGGAATATATGGATGATATTCAACATCTTGCTTTGTATTGAAGCCGATCTAATCGGCGAAGTGCTGCACCTCCATAAAAATATTACCATAGCCTAACCGAGATACGTTTGGTGTAATTATAACCTTGAAAACGAATGTAAAAAACGTAAAGTAATTCATGTTATAAGGAGGGCTTAACGTCCAACTTCTCGTGGCTGTCATGGACATTGCTTCCCGTATTCTCTGTCGTCCTAAAAAGGACAATGAGGATCTTTAAGTCCGCACCTAGCCTATTCGGCCTTATCGGT